AGTACAGAGCCTTGATGAGGCACAAATTTCTTGGTTTTCAGGCAGGAAACATTGTTTTCACACTGCTCTGAGCAGTGGAAGAACGGAAAGAGATTTGAGTAACATGACACACGCACTGCTTCATCGGAAAGTGTAACTGGTGTCTCAAATCTTGCTCTAGGCCAGTGAGCTGGCTGCTAACTGTCTCTGCAAGGCACATCATCTCTCTCTGTTGCAGTGTGTTGTGGAAAGACATCAAATTGTTTCTGGCTCCTGGCACAGTGTCACTCGGTGACAAATCCTGAGCGCAGTCTTTCCAAGTGCCCTGTTAGTTCTGCCGCAAAGAACCAGCTGCCATTCCCTGAATTTAGCTAAACCAAGAGCATTATGCGTTGCTTGAAGTGGTGACAGAGAAGGAAATGATATTGTTGAGCTATTTTGGAGATATATAGGCCAAAACCTTTTTTTTTTTTTTTAAGTATGGAATTTTTTCTATTCAGTGCTTCAAAAATGATTCATCAGCTGGCAGTCTTTTGCTTGCTCCCTTTTCTCCATAGGGCTCTTCAGTTGGATAGGGTGGTGGCATCACTTCAACTTGCTGTCAGAACCACGAGGTTGGGGGTCTTTTCCTTCTCCAGCAAGTCATGGCTTGGTAATGCCCAAAATGTAGAATGAAAATCCATGTTATCTGACTGGACTCTGGCTGGGAGGGCTCCCTCTTTCATACCAAGCAATACTGTAGATCTGACTGCTTTAGTCTCTCTCTACTATGGGTTTGTCTGCTGTCAGTGCTATTTCCATACTACTGCAGGTATAAGCTTTTTCTTGCCTGAACCTGGTGTTGCATTTTGGAAAATTGTTCTTACATTACAAAAGGTGTATCTTACACTGAAGTCTGATGAAGTTTGGAAGCCAAAAATGCAGATTGGAAACAACTTCATTGAGAGGAAGGTGGGGGGGGGGGGGAAACCCAAAAACCAAAAAAAACTTAAAGAGAAAAAAGCATCTGTCACTAATATCTGTAGACTAAGGTTAGAGAGTGTGTGTTACTGCAGGGATATCTGTGTCCTTCACTGCTGCTGCATTCCTCCAGGAGAACTGGAAAGGAACAACTGTGATGGGCAAATGTAGCAAATCTTGTCTGCAAGTAGAACTTGCCTTCAAAGCCCAAGTAGTCAAAACTTGATTTATGCCAGGAGTTTAAAGGCTTGTATTTCTTCCAAAACATTTTATGGCTTAAGATTTATTTGCAAAGCTCTTCTAATCTGTAAAGTGCTTAGCCTTGGTAATGTTTTTTAATTTCTTAGCTCCAACTTTGAATGGAAAAGGATTTGTCTGTAACATTTCTGAAATTGACCTCTGTATTTATTCCTGTACAATAAGTGGACGAATAGAAGTTTCTAATATTATAGATACTAATTGCATGTCTTGTCTAAATGGCCACTCTTAGTAGCACTAACTTTTTTATTGTTTCTTTAAGTAAATATTTTTTACGTACTCTATGGTCCAAGGACTAATGACAGAATGAATTTGTAGCCTTATTTTCAAGAAAGGCATGTAATAATCAAAGTATTGATAGTGAGGTTGTGCCATAAGCACTGTATGTGTTTCATATGCTGTGTTGCAACCTTTTGAAATGCTTTTTGGTCACATAAATTGAAAGCCAGTTCTCAGTGGTATCTTGTAGGTTGTTCTTTGTTTTGTTTTGGGTTGTGGCAGTTAATACAGAAACCACTATGATATATGTTTCAGTCTAGTGTAGGAGATGTTTCTCAATGCTGAATTGCAACATTCATTATGTTGCTTAATTCAGTTAAGTCTGTTTAGGAGACAGCGCAGGACTTTGCCATGTTCAGTGCTGTATGCAATATACTAAACACAGCAGGAAAAAAAGTCAAAAAGAAATGCAAAATTTTTCTCATTTTCTATTTATTCTGAAAACGTCAGTATGTAAAACTGTTAAATATGGGATACAGGTATGAACACCTTAAGATACAGACCACCACTGGATGGGATTCTCTCACGATGGGGAAAGCTAGAGGTTTTCTGGCACAAGGAAGATGACTCCTACCCCACCTGCAGATTTGCAACTGTGGAACAGATTGTACGGACCAGTGTAGCAGAGGAGGGAGGGCCTGGGAGCAATGCCTGAGCTACACTGAAGCACCAGAGAGAAGTGGCAAGTGGTAGTGCTGAGGGACTCTGCTGCTGGGAACAGAGGCCCCCATCTGCCATCCTGACCTATTGTCTGTTGTAAATGGCAAGGGGAAGGGGGTGGATGCAAAGGCATAATTAAATGTAATAAGAAACGGGCAGAAATTTGTTTACTGCATTTTAACCCACACAATAGAAAATTAAGTGAAGTAAGAAAATTAATTTAATGGAACTGAACCATGAGGTTTATCTGTCATTCTGAGAGCTCTTCTGTCTATGCTGTAATGACAGAATGAAAAATTTCTTTGACTTTCATTCATTCTTTCAGAGTATGGGAAAGAAATATTCTGAAGGCTTTAGAAAATTGCATTTAAACGAAACAAACGGAAAAACTGTAATGAACTGTATAAATTTATAATTATTTTGTTCTAAGCTCATTGGTTTCTAAACACTGAAATATTGCTCATCTCCATTGGACTCCTTTTGGTTGATGGAGGTAGAGAGAGAGCTTTGTTCAATCACCTACTGGAGTTTAAGTTAGATGCATGTATGCGAGGAGTCTCTGTTTCTGTCTCTGTCCTGCCTATGCAGGCACAGGAGTGTACTACAGTAAAAGAAGGAGGCTAAGAAAAACCTTTGCAGCAATTTTCTGAATGGATATCAGCAGGGAAAGTGCTGAATTTTAAGCATTCTGTTGAAGTCTGTAGGTTTATTCACCTTTCGGACTGATGTAGTTAGGAAGACACAAATCTTATTCCCTGGATGGGACCAAATGTTTGTTTTCTGTTGTAATATTTTCACGTAGAATAGTTGAGGTTGACAGGGACCTCTGGAAGTCATCTTGTCTAACCCCCTTGCTCAAGCAGAGCCAGCTAGAGCAGCTTGGCCAGGACCACATCCAGATGGCTTCTGAGTACCTCCAAAGGTGGAGACTCCACAACCACTCTGGGCAACCTGTGCCAGTGCTCAGTCACCCTCACAGTGAAAAGTGTTTCCCAATGTTCCAAGAGAACTTCCTGTGTTTCAGTTTGTGCCCATTCCTTCTGGTTCTGTCACTGGGGCCATCTCCATCTTTTTGGCACGCTCCTTTCAGGTATTTATAGACATCAGTAAGATCCCCCTGAGCTTTCTCTTCTCCAGGCTAATCAGCCCCAGCTTTCTCAGCCTTTCCTCAAAGGAGAGATGCTCCAGTTCCTTGATCATCCTTGTGGCCTTTTGTTGGACTCTCTCCAGTGCATCCATGTACTGAGGAGCCCAGAACTGGACACAACACTCCAGATGTGGCCTCATCAGTGCTGAGTAGCAGGGAAGGATCACTTCCCTCAGCCTGCTGCAATGCTTTGCCTAATGCAGTCCAGGACAGCGTTAGCTGCCGTTGTGGCAAGGGTGTGTTGCTGGCTCATGTAGATTCTTGCGGTACATCCCATGGTATGTCTTGCCTTTTGTTTTGGAATAGTCACTTATTAAATTTTACTGCCTTTTCTGTTGAAAGGATAATGATTTTTTTCTGCATAATTATTTGTTACAGGTAGGCTAGGTGCTTCATAGGTAATATTGTTGAAATATTTTGCCACCATTACAAAAGTATATTAACAGTGCTCCTTATGTAAGTAAATGTATTATGTCTTAGTTGAAGTAGTCACAAAGGAAGTAACTAATTAAACTATTAATAGATCCTTTATAAAAGAATGGTATGTGCTGGGTTTTTTAATAGAAAATGAAAGTAGGGTGATTATTCTTGCCTGTTTGTGGAAAAATGCAACATACGTTCTTGTAGAGATTTGTTTTGTTTCAGAATTTAATTGAACCGCCACAATTAGTTTCGTAACTAAGGAATCTCAAAATCCTTTTAACTTTTTTTCATGGTGTTATTCTTAGATTGGCTTAGTTGGATTTGGAAGCATGGCAGTAGCGGGTGGATTTGGATTTGTTTGTTACTTATATTCAAATAACTTCTATGCAGTTAATATAAAGTTTTCAATGAGAAGAGAGATAAGGAAACTTGGTTCTGTTAGTTTTGTTATTTAGAAGATTATAGAATTGGAAATTACATTAAAAGCTAATTGTTAATGCCTACAGCCCTGAAACAGGAAAAGTACCTTTATAGCATTTGTATGTCTAAGATTCTGTAAAGATTTTTCAATGAAGGAAAATTTCAATTGGTCTAGCAATGAGTTATCCCTATTAATTATTGCTGAAGATTTTTCTTGCTTCTACTCTTAACCCTGTTGATGCTTTTCTTCTTTACTGCATCAGTGGTAGAATGGATTTGTCCCCTTATCATTGAAAACAGCCTCCTCTGTGTCTGAAAGCTGTTGTCACGTCCTCCTTCTACCTTCTTAATCCTAGCCCTTCATTTTTTTCCATTGGTGACACTTCATATCATCCAGATCTCTTATTTTCCTGGTCTCAAATGGCATTCATCATCAACTTATTATATTTTGCAAATTCATGTTGGTGACACTTCATCTATAACAGCTTTATGGTGAATAGAAAAATATTTCTCCAGAAAGTACAACTACATTTCATCATTTGATATTGGTTGTATGTAGCAGATAATATTTACATACCTGTATTGGAGTGTGCATCTGTGTATTTCTGTGTGTGTGTGGAACGGTGGATAAGAAGATGGTGAGTTGTTTTTATAGCTCTATTTTAAAGTCTGTGGCTAAAAATTATTTAGAGTGAAAGAGATTTTGGTTTTCTGTTAAAAAAAAACAACCACCAAAACAAACAAAAACCCAGGATACTGGTTATTAACCCTCCTCTGATCAGAATCTGTAGTGATTAAGTTTATTTCTTCAGTGTTGTGAATTCAAAGTCACTTTATATTTTTTCTTTCTCCCTCTTTTCTCTGTAATTCACAGCTTTTGGAAATTAATTGGACTGGCCTGACCAATCTTCTGGATGTTCCGGGACTGAAGTGAGTATATGTAAAGCAGTGTTTGCTTGATATTCCTCCACCCCAATAAACCCCAGAAAGTCTGAAGACCATCAGCTAAATAATTTTAGGTTAAATGACTCTGAGCAGTTATCTCTTAATTTAGAATTATACGAAGTTGCTCAATCTGCAGAAGGTAGTGATTTCACTACAAGTGAAAGTACATCAAAAGCACATCTAGTAGGTCATGTTAAAAACATTTTGAGAAGATAATTTTTAATCTGCTTTTTTTAGTGTTCTCAGTCTTTCCAGATTTCCAGAATCTTGTGACTTTCCTATCTGCCATCTCCTAGGACAGCAGAAAGACAGAGCCTTATTTTTTGCACCAGTAGGTTCACAACATATTGGGACATGGCTTTGTGTGCTGATACATCTCTAGTTGCCTGTGTAAAGGTAGTTAGAAATACCTTAAGACAGTAATCAAATTTAATAAACTTTCTGTTCTTTTCAAGTACTTACTTTTGAAGCTTTCAGTTTATTTTGTGATGATCAAATGGAGTACAAAAATATTGACAATATATAGATAGAAAAAAATGCTTGGCTTATTCAGAGCTTTTCAAAATAGCACATGATAAAACCCCAAATTAAAAAGCAGAAGTAGAGCTGAAAACTAAGCTGCTTTGAATCATTGCAATCTTGATAAGGTTAACTCCATTAATACATTCAAAATTATCAAGTTGTAATAGTTACCCAGGGGGCTTTTTAATATTGAGACAATGGCTAAGGGGATAATGGTAGATCTGATACACACTTGGATTTTGTGACTAGTCCTTTTATTGGATCCCATCCTCTCAAGAGCTGGCTGACTCTGGAATTATTTTTTATTGTTAAAAACAAGAGTTTGAATTTAGGTATTAAGTTAATTCTTTAGTGCTCGATTGTGTTACTGCAATGGTTTTTGCTTTACTTCGATGTGTGAAGCCATTGCGTGGAATCCCAGTTGAACAGTTTGAAATTAGAGCTTGCATTAAGTAGGTTAATGGCTGCAAGAATTGCTTATGCTTTCAAGCCTGCTTAAGACTGCTTCTGAGGAAAGAGGTTTTCTTGATAAGTGAGAAAATGGCTTCCAAAATACACCTCCTGAGTAATAATTTGATCTTTTTGACATAACACTAATAAACTTATATTTGGTACTTAAGCTTGCTAGGCTCCTGAGATTCGTATCATGCTACATATTTGCCTGACTGCAAACACAAAACCTCAGATGTAAACAAAGTCTCGCTAAGTATCTCAAGTTTATGGTTTCCAGAGCAACTGAGCTTGGCCACATATGCATATAATGGTGCCATGGTATAGTTTCTATAGTAACTGAGGTGACTCATGCTCTGCCTTGCCAAGAGATTTCTTCAGTGCTGTATTTGTTTCTCTTATCTATACAGATAGATTGTATATTTTGGCAGACAGCTTGACATACTGTAGTTGTTACAAACAATGATGAACAAGAGATTGCTGCTGCCACAGGTACATTTTTCGTCCTATGGCTGTTGGCTGCACACTAAACTACTTATTTGTACTCTGCAAATGTCTTCTGCTAAAAGAATTTCTGCATTTCATACAAAAGTAATTCATATTCCACCATTAGTACAGCTTATGGAGGAGTAGAATTAAAATGAGGATTGAGGAGGAGCCAAGCTGTGAGAAAACTCAGGTATTGACAGGAGGGGATATGGATAATGATGGGAAGATGAATTCTGTTACTGCTACTTGAGATATAGTAAAAATATTCTATGCAGTCAGAGATGTGCTGTCTCTGCAGCGTGAGTAAAGACGATGCAGGAAAAATATATAGCAGCTTATTCTGTTACTAAAAAGTAGAACTAAATAGAGAGCAATGCAACAGAACAGGTAACTGCTAATTATTTTTCTGCAATGAAATTGAGCTTTTGAAGGCATTTCCTATAATGGACTATCTGAAGTGTTTCACACTTCTCTCATTCTTGTGAACTGAAAAAGTAATTGTACTTAGAATCAATGACTTAATTTTCCTTATTCTTTTCTTAGATATTTTAGTGAAATTCAAGCATTTGTGGTGGGATAAAACTGTGAGACTGAACTTGGGAATCACAGAGTTGGGGTTTGGTCTTAGTAGAAATTATTGTGAACCCTCCAAGTCACTGGACTCTGTTGTACTTTAGGCTGTTTCTTTCTTTTATTTAAGATATCCTTTAGCTCCATTTGAACATTAATCAATCTCTGAACCTTTTGATAGGATAGGTTTATTTGTGCTTATGGCTTATTTTATAATGTATGTGATCTTAACTAAATACTAGAAAAGAGCACGATAACCTTTCTTTCATGGCAGCTCTGGTACCATTGCCTCTCTTGCACTGCTTGTTTGCTTTCTCTCACCTAGGTCAGGTAGTTTTCTCCATTACTCATCTGTTCTTAAGGAATGCACTTTACTGAGCATAAAGGCGGAGCTTTTTCTTCTTGCCAGGCAGGGATGCTAACAAAAGCATGAACAAAACAAACTTCTTTGATCTCCCTACTGGAGATATAGCATCAAGCTTGTATTTTGTATGACTGTTGCTTGTGTAGTTACCATCAACTCAGCCTTTTTTTTCCCTTTTCATGTTAAGACTGTTTGAGATATTTATCTTACAGTTTTAAGTTAACTCTTAACAAAATAGTGGGTTCTAATTTCTTGTGTCATTTTAGAGAAAGTTTAACATACAGAAGTTGAAAACTTTGATGTTTAACAAAACTAAACTGAGAAAGTTTGAAAGCCAATGTGTGTTACCATGACTAAAGGAAACTAGTTATTTTCAATTAACATATTTATCTTGCAATAGTTTTCTTAGGAATTACTGAAACTATAAATTTGTAGGGCTCAGTATTCATATAGAATGCAGATCTTGTAAATATGACTGGATAAGCTCTGCAAGAAAGGAATGGGAATGAAGACTTCTCTTTAGGACAGATGTGAATTAACTCTCAGAAGTTGAGAGGAAACTTTTCCTCTGAGCAGTATCTTAAATTGTCCACTGTTGCTTCTTCCAGAGAATAAATAGGTCTGCACAGACCTGTCTGTTGATCTTGATGCACTCTTGAGTTTCTTCTGTTCCTGTTGCACTGGATGCCATTACAAAGTCAGCTGTGATGTATAATGCATTGTAGTTCATCTGGATTTACAGTGGAAGTGGGCAGCCAAGGGGATTCAGGCTGTACAGGTTGCAGATTTCTGGCATGAGAGATCAGTGTGAATTTGAAATGGGCCAGATTGTATTTAATGGGTTAATTCTATTACCTATGTCTACCATAATATGTTTATTGCTCACCGCCAAATTTTGTTCCCAAATTAAAATCTAATACGTATTACGTTTTGCTGCAGCTTTGGTGTTTGTATGCTAGCTGCTGAGTCAGAGCTACTCCCAACTGTAGGTTCAGTCTTAGAAAAACTTTACAAGATGTTTACACACAAATGCTTCACCTGAAAAATGTTCTAAGTAATCAGACATTATCTGCATCTTAATTTCATAAAGACTGTAAAGGAAGAACCATAAAGTGTATTTAGGAGAAGTCTTTCACCCCTGAAGCAGCTCCACCAGCTATAGCAAGAGTGCACCTGGAGTTCAGAATATCTCAAGTATTTTTATAATTTTCTCTCAGACTTTTGTGCATACCCCTAAAATCTTGCTGGATACTTGTCTTCCATGGTGAATTGTACCACTCCAGTTTGGCCTTTTGGCCAGCGTAGGCAATGTGTGTAACCAGTGGTGTTGGTCTGACAACGCACTGGTTTGTTTTCAGTTCAGACCCAAACTGGGTGAACTCCTAGTTTAGGAAATAATTTTCTGTGTTTGGGGTGGGGCTGTGGGGTATGGGGTTGTGCTTTTCAAACGGTTCATTACCAGTGTGATTGTACTGCCACTCCCTTTTTGCCAGAACAAAACCTGTTTTGCTTCCCTAGGCTATATTTTACTCAGCCAAGGGCATGTTTTCTTTCTGTTTCTGTTTTAAATGACAGCCCTCTCAGCTCAGGAGGACAACTTGTTTCATAACAGTACAGGAGTGGTTAGCCAAACTTCCATTGTTGAAATACAAAAGTAGATCAACAGTTAACATCTGCTTGGTTATATTCAATGCAGGGAGGAAAACTTACGCAACAGCCTTGTACCCTGGGTGGCTTTAAAAAGCAGAGGTGAGGGGGGAACTTAGCGGTGGCAGGGAAATGACAGTTTAATAATTTTTGTGGTTTCTGCTATTCGGGGTCAGCTGCTTCCACCTGGTGGCCATTCTGGCAAGAATCCTTTATTTTAAAAAGAAGTGTTTAAAAAACCAGATGTGTCTTCTCCCTCTATCCCCACAAAAGGCAAATGTTTTCTCTGTTTAGGTTATTAAGCAGCAAAAGGAGTATATTAGGGTGACATAACGTGTTTAATTCTCATGAAGTAACTGAGAATTATCTTTTCCAACAGTGGCTTATCAGATACAATAATACTGGATATAATATCCAACTACCTGGTCCTTCCAAATAGAATTACTGTCCCCCTTGTCAGTGAAGTGCAGATTGCTCAGCTGCGGTTTCCTATACCAAAGGTAAATATGTTTCTGCAAATACTAATAATTTGGTGTCTAGTTTTTTTCTGTAGTAGTAACTGCTAGCACTGATTATACACATCTGTGTGAGTTTCTAAATACAGTTATTGCAATAGTACAAGTTATTGTGAATCTAGTCACTTCAAATAATTGAATTAATTTAGAAATAATATCTGTGGAGTTAATGTTTCATAATAACACCAAGAGGAATTTTTTTTGTTTTGGTAGAATGTTAAACACAGTACTTGCTAAAATACAGTTCAACTGCATAGACTGAAAATTAGGTAGCATATGTTTTATATTATCACTGCAAATTATTGTTGGTGTTCTTCACTTGAAAGTTGTTGCTACTTACTGCTACACGGTTTCAGTAGCGTGCCATTTCTTGATATAACTGATATGTTTCTAATTGTTGATGAAGGTTTCTCTTTTCAGGAATCTCTTGAGTGCTAGGTCTGCTGTTTATGTGGATCATTATTGTTATCATTCCATTTACAGTGTGTCCAAACTAACATTCATGTTAAGGAAATTGCTATGGAAATTATGAAAAATGTATTGCATAAATTGTGATTACGTGGAAACTTTCAGATTACTGCATAAACTTGTCTTTTCCTTTTTTAGGGAGTTCTAAGGATACATTTCATTGAAGCTCAAGACCTAGAGGGGAAAGATACTTACCTAAAAGGCATTGTCAAAGGAAAGTCAGATCCTTATGGAATCATTCGTGTGGGCAACCAGATTTTCCAAAGCAAGGTCATCAAAGAAAATCTCAATCCAAAATGGAATGAAGTTTATGAGGTATAACCAATAAAAATATCTTGTGTGTTCTGTGAAGTTGTCTTCTGATACCCTGGGGACTTCCTCGAGGAGCTTCTTGATGTATTCCCCTAAAAGCCCAAAGTTCTTTAACAAAACAGAAATTCTCCATTGATGTATATACTTGTTTTTTGCCTAGACAAAGCATTAATAATTCTGAAAAGCATTGTAGTCTCTTAAAGCAAATAGCAACAATAGCAAATCACATCTGAAAAGCCCTTATACTTGCTTTACTCATTAAATTTCACCTTTTTTAAAGCATTTGATTATTGATATGTTTTAATATACAAAGGTACTGCAGTTCAATGTTTTACTGTTACTATGCCATTTAACAAAGCCAGTTAGTTTTACCAGTGACAGTGCCATCTTACTGTACTTCCAGGCCTTAGTATATGAACATCCAGGACAGGAGCTAGAGATTGAGCTCTTTGATGAAGATCCAGATAAAGATGACTTCCTGGGAAGGTAAATGTTATGGAGAATATGTTTGTAGGTACTGAAAAGAGTTGAAATATTTTTATGTAGGTTGTTTTGTTTTTTCTTTTTGCATTTTATTTCAGTTGTAATTTTGATATATTACTAGATTTATAAATTAATTATATTTTCAAAATTATGGTAGTAAATAGTTCTCTAATTACTTTATATATATAAATATATGTATATAAGAAAGTGCTTGTGTGTGTATATACACATCTTTGTTTACATATTTAAAAAAAAAAATAAGGTAAGTATTGTGTGTACCCGGAAAAAAAAGGGTGAGGTGTTTGGGTTTGGGTTTGGTTTTTTTTCAGAGTTGTACCCTACCTGCTTTAATGTTCATAGGCAAGCACTAAGTCTTAATTATTTCTTCAGGCAAGGTTAATACAGCTTTGTAACTGTGTATCTTCTTCATCTTCCTGTTGTTTTTTTTTTTTAATGCCTAGCTCAGTTTATTTATCTCTGAGAGCTGATCTTAACTATTTAATAAGGTTTTGCTGTAATGCTTTCACAAACATTACTCACTCTTAGATTCCATAGGCCTACCTTTAGTGTTTACCCATAAACATTTCAGGGTTTCAGTCAGCTTCTTTCTCCAGTAATTTGTCACCTTTATTTCTTGCAGAGTTTTGGAGCTTCCCATTGCTATCCATACAGAGTAGAACTCCCTTATCTTTCCAGCTCCTTCTCTCTTAACAGGAGCAACAGTACCTACTTCTCTTCTCATTAAAATAAAGAAGTAGGTAGTACAAAGGCTTCTTTTCTTTGCACTTCCCTAATCTTACACTGAAGTGGTGGGGGGGGAACAGTGGCATAATGTGTACAGCAATACTAATAAAATAAAAAGCCACGAAAAATGTTCATGCGCTGGCATGCAGTTGTCTGCCCCGTTTAATTTTTAGCAGATTCCTTGGTACATTTTTAGCTTGTGTGAACTAGCACTCTCCCAGACAATGCCAAAGCATGAATTTTGTCATAGCATATGTCCAGGGGCTATTTCCAGTGGGCAGTTTGGATGTGGTCACTGTTTTGAGAGTTTGGTCATATGTATGTGAGCCATATTGTGCCAGTTGCCCTCGTAGCTACAAAATGGGCTTTAGTATAGGCATGTTTTCTGTTACCCTGCGTTCATCTTCATTCAGCCATGTTGGTCCCTACTTCTTCCTCTCAGGGGCTGAAAGAACAGTATTCTGCTCTTTTGATTTCAGTGGAAGCCTGGATACTCAGCAAGCACAGGGTGGGGTTTGAGTTCTGTATTAGATTTTTTGCTTCTTGGCTACAATACTCATTGGGGATTGTTTTCTTTTCTTTTTTTTCCCTAGTTTGATGATAGATTTAATTGAAGTTGAAAAGGAGCGTCTTCTGGATGAGGTAAGTATTCAGTAAGTTTTGGTTTAAAAAACCCCATATGTTGTATATGTAGTCGTTCTTGTATTATTATTTTCTGCTGATAGTTCCTGCATGTGCACGAATAACCTTAATGCTACAGAAATACATTCCCTGATCAGTACAGGGGTTTAAGGGATATCTGGATTGGTGAAATCTGAAGAATAATGGCATTCTTCTTCTGTCTTGGGATATTAAGATTACTAGTATGTAAATGCAAAAAAACAGTAATTTATGTATTTGGTGAGAGCTTTTTCTGGCAGATGAATAGTTAATTGCATGGTTTAACTACTAATAGACTTAGTAGACTAATTTTTGTCCTATATGTAAGAGAGATTTTACAGTAATGTTATGCAGGATTTGTATTTCCAGGACATCTTTACAGAACTTAAAGAATTCTTTTTGATATTTTAAAAGTACTTTTACTATATAACACAGAGGTTTGTGTGGCTGATTTTGTTATTCTGCATTGTAATACTTAGTGTGAAATAGGACATTTTAAACAGTGAATCAGATCTTTTCAGGCTATGCAGACTTCAGCTCTATGAGATTTCCAGTAGAGATTAGCATTTCCTAAATGTCTTGAAGAGTCAATTGCAGTCATGTATTTGGTGTCAGATTATATCTCATTACTCTGCTTAACTTTTAGTGGTTTACTTTGGATGAAGTGTCCAAAGGAAAATTGCATTTAAAACTGGAATGGCTCACATTGATGCCAACTGCTGAAAATCTAGACAAGGTATTAAAGGAACACATTGCTTTTATCCTAATCTTAATTGTTGTGGGGTGGGTTTTGTGGTGTTGTTGTTAAATATGCAAGTAATTTAATTCTATGTTGTGAATTTGGGTAAACCTGTAATTTTATTCCAACTTGTTTGTCTTTAGAAATCTCAAGCCAGTCATAACTGTCAATGTACGCTTGTTACATGGGATTTTAAAGAACTTCTGTCGTCCTCTTCTTTTCTCTTAATATTATGGTTTGAGAATATCAGTTAACATTTCATTAGCCTGGGAGATAAAGTTGGATATAATATTATAATCTGTCAAGTCTAAAAGAAGTAATTAGGAAGTGGGGTGGAAATTTACATAAAAATGGGGTTTAAATATCTATATGAGTCTTGAAAACTTGCACACTATGAAGCATAAGTAGTATTTGTGAATGTTCACATTCTGGGAGATGTTTTTAAAATGTTTTTCAGGAATGGGACAGAAATAATAGTGGTATTTGATTTTCAGAAAGGCTTACAGTATGTTTTTGGTTTAGGTGCTAACAAGCATTAGAGCTGATAAAGACCAAGCCAATGATGGGCTTTCTTCTGCATTGCTTATTCTCTATTTGGACTCAGCAAGAAACCTGCCTGTAAGTTATATTCCGATGGATACCCTTTTGTCATGGGTATCTCTTGCGAAATTCCAGCATGTCTTGCTTGGTGGTATGGCACACTGCTTTACTAACACACATTACGCCATGTTTTCTACACTTGTTTCAAAACGTGTAATGTAAGGTCCACATTTCTCATAGTATAGTGCTATAGATTTATTTTTAATAAAGCATTACTCTTTAATCAGTGTGATCTTTCTTTAAAGAATGCTCCTTTCCTGGACTTGAAAGGCTGCATGTTTTTATTACACAGTGTTTTCCATAAATAGTATGGGATCAGCATGGGGAATTTTAAGGAACTAACTGGGAAAAAGTCCACTTCCTTGAGTTCAGGTAAACTTACTTGTTTTGGTTTAGGGTATCTGTGGTAGATACGAAGGTACTGAAGTCCTCATAATTGAAATGAATACTTGCAATTGATGTTAGAGCGGCAGAATACTTGTGTGAGATTTCTGTCAGGGTGTCATTTGAAGTGGTGTTCATTTGCTTCTGCAAAACCAAAAATATCAGTGGTTCTGTTATTATATGGATTATACTATGGGACTGTGAAATACCTTGTTTATCACAGAATCACAGAACGTTAGGGATTGGAAGGGACCTCAAAAGATCATCCAGTCCAATCCCCCTGCCAGAGCAGGAACACCCAGATGAGGTTACACAGGAAGGCGTCCAGGTGGGTTTTGAATGTCTCCAGAGAAGAAGACTCCACAACCTCTCTGGGCAGCCTGTTCCAGTGCTCTGTTACCCTTGTTTATGACAAGAACAGACTGTTTTGTAGTTTATTGGAGGTTAGTAAACTAGTAAACACTGTTCCTAGTTGTAAATGATAGACGTCATAAAGTAAGCTCTACTATAAATAGATACGTGAAGTGTAGCACCGAGTTTTGCTGTTTTTCAGCATTGCTATTAGATGAGAAATTCTGGAAGTGATGACTCAAATACTAATTGGCAAATAAAGTTTTCAAGCCTCAGATTTTTTTGCATGCATTTTGCAAATTAAGTGAAAATGCTGTATCAAAGCGTGGTAAGAAATGAAGCCTTTGTAGCCTAAACAGTTTACATCACTGACTAGAGATTTCATGTTTGTTTCAGAGTCTATAAAGCAGCATTTGAAAGTAGTACTTATAGGTTATTTTAAAAGCTAAAGAGATGTAGCTCATGATCATTGAACACTTAAATTCCACTTACAAGTGCACAACAATAGAATGATACAATACTGCATTAAACTCACATTGTCCAAAACCAGATACAAAAAGGCTTCTCAGTTGGGTTGGGGGGAAATATAATGGGAAGACTTCTTCATGTGCGAGAACTGAAAAGATTCCTATAAATGCTATAAAAGCAATACTTAAATACTGTCATGCAACTGCTAGACAAACTGCAGTGAATTATAGTGAATACAGCTTTTTTTAATGTCCATTTCATTCTAATGTGAAACAACATCTACAAGATTAAACATGAAAGTCTGCTTGCTTCTCATGTTGTGTTTGTATTCACTGTTACAGGTCATGTAGTGTAATAGCAAAATTAATCTCTGTTTTGGATTGCTTGTATTTATGGAGAACAAGAAGTTCAAAGAGAATGAAGTCTGTTGAAATTACACTGATGCTTATTAATAGTTTTGAAGACTTTTGTCCACAACTTTAATGTTACAGATGGAATATTTTCTAGATGAATAAGTACTTTTTATTACCTTCAAAATGGATTTCTTAAGTTAATGCTGATCACTGGTACATTTTCAAACTTGGCATCAGCCTTGTTTTGTTTAAGTTATAATGGATAATCCCCAGCATAGGCTTTTCGTTTGCTCAGATGCATCATAGTTGTGGATTTCTGAAACACCGGGATGATTTATCTGAAATAAATTTCAAGTGAAATAGAAATGGTGTAGGAGGCTGGTCTCTAGATTTACTTAGTTGGCTCTGCCATATTGAATCTAAACTACCAAGAGTAAACAGGGAAAGTGGGCTATTATATTTGAATAATTGAATTAAAAATAAAAATCAAAAAACTTCTCACCTTGCTGCACTACAGAAAGTCGTTTAACAGATTAAACTATTTGTAATGACAAATATTTACTTGCGTTTTGTTATCTGCTGTTTTCTCTGGAATCCTTTGACTGTTTTCCTTAACTTTTTTGTGTAGTAATGCTGCTTATGCATTCATTCTGCCACAACCCCATCACTCTGCTTTCTCCTTCCATTTCCATCTTCCTAAGAGTATCTACGAGGGAAACTTTGGGTGTGGATACTTAAAAGAGAGGAGAGCATCGGGACTAGTCTTTTGTGAAAACACTACCTCACTCTATAGAGCACTATTTGTGAGTTCTCTGGTATTATTTGTATTGTGCCTTTTATCTGCCAGAGTGTGGATTAGTGCTACTAAAGCCACTCACTCTAGTGGAATGAGAGCATGCAATTTGTTTTGCTGCATGGTTTCAACAAGTGTGCATTGTTTTTGTGCTATTTTTATTGCATTTTAAAGGCTACTTAAATTTCATTGATCAGCATATCATTGGGTAAGTAATTAACTTTATGATAAAAACCCAAGATAAGATTGTTGCAAATGCTCTTACATTTAACTTAAATTGCTGATTCATTGAGAAATAAAATGCATACTGTACTAGCACACTGTGTGCTGGTGAACTGCTGGCTTTTGTTGCAAAGAAATGAAACTAATAAATACTACAACCAACATCCCTGTGGTTTCTTTAAAAGGTAATGCACTCAATGTTTGTAAGAACTTGCAACCTCTCCACACTGGTTCAAGTACTGCTTTAAAAATGGGTGCGGTTCTTTGTGCTTCCCAAACTATAAATTCCCTTGTAAATTCTATTTCACTCCATGATGCTCCTTGTTTTGCAAATTCCCAAGTTCCTTTTCTTTTTTTTTCATATTAGTCTGTAGTCAGGAAAATCCAGGCTAGGGTGAGCCACCAATTAATTTTTTTTTTGCTTGAATTTGCTTGAAATGCTACAAGATTATTACAAACTAATGAGCTTCTGAGTATCTTACACTTAAATCTGTAAACACAACCTTGATATCTTCAAAAAGAATGAGAATCTATACAGAATAAGAACTCATTTGCCAGAGAGAGGTGGGTATGCCACTGTAGACTGTGCAGGTAGATTTGTTGCTGGCTGGCTACTTTTTGCTGATATCATAAACCTTGATTTAAAACACCTTCCCCCCTTGTACCCCCAGATCCCAACAAAACCCTTTGCTCTGGTCCTTTCAGGTCGTTTTTGCGTAGTTCATTTTTAAAAAGTTATATCCATTACCAAACCATGTTAAAATTTAATGAATAAGAAACGCCATTCATAAGCTATGGTTCAGTTATCTTGGTATTAATGCTGATAAGATGTTGATGTTTCTTTTAGTTATAAAAATACTAGATACATCTAAAAATAAAAATCTACTAAAAATAATTTTTTTAAAAAGCTTTATAAAGAGGGTAGCACTGATGGTTCTGTGGCTTTTAGGGTCTTTGCATTAGGACATGTCATCTACATGTAACAGCGTCTATTTAAGCTTAGGACAAAACTTCCCAAATCCTCAAAGCAATTTGTGAGTCAGAGTGGGACAGCAACCATTTTAAGATACCCAAGTCTGGATTTCCTTCAGCAGCAGCGTTAACTGCCTTGTTCTGCAGTTTCACGGGCGCTATAGTCTTGCAGCCAGCAAGAGGACAGGGTTTATGGCCGGAGGCCAGAAAAGGAGAGGACTGCAGTAGCCCAGAGATGACAACAGCTTCAGCAGTCACAGAACTGCAGCTTGTTTTCAGGGTATCTTTAAACATGAGGTATTATGCAAACATTCATACCTGCAAATTCAGATATCTAATTGACATGTGACGAGTTGCTTATGGGCAGGGAGGGGTGTTGAAATGGAACCTCACTTTATATAGGGAGGGAAAAATCCAAATGTTCTGCTCATTTTTACACAGTTTTATTGTCTGCTGGCAAGCTTAGATTCATGATACCTAATTTAGACGTTTACCCATCTAAATCTGATTTATCTGAAGTTAAGGAGTATGAATAGTGTTCTTAGTATAATTTCTGAAAGTGAGTAACACGCATTTTGTGGTATCATTAGTTCATAACAACTTTAAATTGATGTCTATATAACATATAAATTATCCATATTTTAAATAATTTCTTACAGATCAGTGACTGTCCTCTGCTTATCAATTGAGGACGCACTCACAGATTTAGACACTTCTAAAGCCTCATTTTAACACCAAGCAAGACTTAGTGAGTCAACAGATGTAAGGAGTTGTACTCCAAAGCATGTTGAATTAGGATCTGTTTGTTGTGGTGTAATTTCTGGGTTTGTTATTAGGATTTACTGCAGTTGTCACTGGCTGTCACAGAACAGTAGCCTGAAATCTGATTTATTCCACTGTGTCCGTTATCAATATAGTTCTTGGATACCTGTCACCTTTTCCTGTAACTGCAGAGACATTCAGAACCAAAAGGCAATTTTATCACCCATGGCAAGACCTTTTCCTCGCTTTTTATATTGAATCCTCCCTTTTCTTCTCCTAGTCTCCTCCTGCCCAGCCTTTCAGGCACCATCCTCATGGACCTGCAGCTCCTTCCCTTGAAATCTGAAGTCTGGCTTAAGCATATTTGCCCCAGCTGATGTCCCTCTTGGCCTATCCTTGCTATGATTCCAGAGGAATTGAGATATGGTCAATATCCAGGAATCATTGGTTGCCTGCCTTTATAATTGAATCACATAGGTTTGTTTTTGAATTTTAAAATTATTTGAATTATTAATATAGGGGGAAAAAAGAATATGCAGGTACAGATGTGAAGGAAAGATGGCCAGTAAGTTGAGGGGCAATGTAGGATTCAAAATGATCTTGATGAATTGCAGATACAATCTGAAAAAAATAAGGTACTTTTCCAAAGAGGACGGCCATTGCACCCATATAAATATGGCATGGAAGTAGTCGTCATTTGAATGTCAGGAAGGCATTTCTTTTGTCAGAGCATTAATAATATCAGTTACTGTTCATAAACCAGCATGTTTTAAAAGGGCACTATGCAATTTTTTTTGTTGCCACACACTACAGCTTTTAAAGCAGAATTCTCCCTTGAAACAAAAATTTGTGCTCAAAGAAAAAGCCAGCTGTAAGTATACTAACTTAAAGCCTCTTATTTCAAAATTTCCTGAAATTACTTCTTACGAGTTGAAGGCAAATTCTCTGTAACATTCTGTACTTTATATATGACACTTGAAGAGCAATATATTATTCTTAAAATAAAATTTTAAAACTTGTTTAATTAATGGAAAGTAGTCAGAGGTTTTGTCCTGCTAAATCAGTTCAAATTCCTATTGCTAGTGTATTTGCGTGTCTTCATTCAACTGAATAATGCAGTAGACCTCCATTCTAGTTAGCATGTAGTGTTTGTATTGTTCATCTGCTGAATCTACTCCAGTGATTCAGTTTTTTATAATGATCTAAATCCTATCAATACCTTTAGCATAGTAATATCTCCCATAAAAAGAATCCTTCAAATAATTAATTGACTTATCATCAGAGAAGCTCCTATGTTGTGAAAATAGAGGTAACCAAATTTTAGAAAGGTTAATTCAGAAGGCAGTCCATAGGACATCAGGCATTGAATAAACCCTGTTTTCTGAAGTTTCTTTATTACAAAAAAAAACCTAGTAAGGGAAATGTAAGTGCACTGAAAGTGAATATATTAGTTTTAAAGCAGAATACAAACATTCAGAGAGGACAACTGGGAAAAAAAAGTTTTGTCAGACTTTCTGTTGTTGTTGTGGTGGTTTCTTCATTGTTTTGTTTGAAAGATTTTGAAGATTTTTAGGTTGATTTCTTTTTTTTCCCCACTTTGTCTGATGTTGTCGTGTCATAATTAATTAACCTAGTGAAATTTCTTCATTGCATGACTTATTAACCCTTCCTATGTTCATTCTCTCCTGACTTAAAAGCATAATCCATTAGAATTTAACCCTGATGGCTTGAAGAAGGCTGCTGTTCAGAAAGCCCTAAAGGTAAAACTAATATAGTTGTCCATTTAAGGTCACAAAAGTAATTGGAAATGCACAAATGCCTGCAACACTTCTCTTCCAACAGTGGATGGAATTTCTGTTGCCAAATAGATATTTAGTGCAATTCTGTTCTACTTAAATTTGGTTTCAGAAAGCGGTCAAGACATTGGTAAAATACTGTGGTCTATGGAAATCTGAATTTTAGATCAGTCAAATGGACTGATCAGTCATAGACTGCTTTAGAAGACTGGGAGAAAAAAAGTAGTCCCGAGAACTAATTTGAAGTAGTAACTAAAGAGCAAACCTGACATGAAAGCTAAAACATCTTTTACGTACTGAGTGATACTTTATTGGTCGGCTCTGAATGACTGACTAGACAATAAAATCAATCTCTGACATGCTTTGAAGTAGTCTTGTTTCTGCTAGATATTTTGAGAAACCTTTACATCTTTATATAAATGCTAAAGAAATTTAGCCCAGCTTTTTGATGTGGAAGACATGGAGTTGAGAGGCAAACTTGGAAAGCATTAAATTCTCATCTGGAGGAACTTGGACAAGAGATGGTCTCTAATAGACTGTCAACAGCAAAACTGTCAGTGGCAGGTGTTAGAGGTGCATTACAAGTGTAAGTATTTCTGCTTATTTACTAAGAATTAAAATTATTTATATTTACATATCAGCATATGAACAGGGCCTTTTGTCAACTTCTGTAGTTTCATAATTTTACTTAAAAAAGAGAGTTTCAGGCACCTTTTTACGGACAAAGAAAACCAAAACGAATTTCACCTACCATTTTTAAACACTATCAGTTGGAGTGTAATCTGACTTTCTAGTCTTTAAACCTTTGTATTCTGTGGTCTTTGAAAGCGAAATATCTTCAGTTAGAAATCATTTAAAAAGTGGCATTCATCCAAGAAAGGAGTGCTTTCTTAACAGCTTTTTTTTCTAGAGGAAAGTATGGTTGTAAGCAGTGTGTCACATTAAAGACAAGTAATATTAGTGGAAGTATGATGTCCAAAATGTAAGTTCAGATCCAAAAATACCTAAAATAAGCACATTCTTAGTTTAAAAATGTAAAATATTTTAATCACTTGGTTGTGATGGTGACCTTACATGCATTAAGTCGATTTTAACTAACTTTGTTTTCATACCTGATCTGTACTATTTCTACATGGTAAAATTCAAAGCATATCATTAACCATGTGTACTATATTTGTTAGGCCTTTTAAACTGCATTAACACCTGCTTGAGATGATTAACTTTCATGTCTTAACTTTTCTTTCTGACTTAAATTTTTGTTAGGTTAATTTAAACTTTGTAAGAGAAACATGTAGCTGGGACTGTTCCTTTGTGTGTATAATTTGTTTCTAAACTGATGTTTATTTTCACAGTCTGATGTAATGCTATACACCTGGTGAGCAAGGCTCAGATATGGCAGATGGTTGATTCTCTAATAAAGAGTATTTGGTAAACTGTAGAAATATGCATCAGGTACATTATAGTGCATCTTCTTTCTCCCCAAACTGAAAAGGGGGGAATATCAATGTTCTGATATTACATCCAATTTAGTAATACTACTGCCATGTAAATAAAGTAAGCTTCCTGAGTTTGTGCTTTCTCCATATCTCCCATCTGCATGCAATATTCATTTTGCAGTTTTAACTATGCTTCATTAGCTTCTGGAGTTATGATGTTCATTAAAGTAAAAGAATTTGCAGCTTACCAATTGCATTTGAAGAAAATGGAAAGGAGTCTAAAACTCCTGTGTATTTGTAACATTTTGCTTCAGTGTATTTAGGGTAGTTGAATGCCTTTGTGTTAATGTGTTCATGAGTTACTAGCCAGTCTGCCGTTCAAGCCTGTTGAATAAAATAGTAAGAATAATAGATAAGTATATAGTAGAATGCGTATGATTTGTATTTTTAAGATGCAAACATTTAAGTTTTAGAGGAAGGACATTTTGCTTTATTCTGAAGGCAAAGTTTTTGCTTTTTCTTTATCAGTCAGGAAAGAAAATAAACAGCAATCCCAACCCACTTGTTTTGCTGTCAGTTGGACACAAGGCACAGGAAAGTAAGGTAAGTTCCTACTCTTTATTCTTGACTCTGTCTACAAACATTTGGTGGCTCTGTGTGCTTGGCATTGGCTATGAAGCCATTGAGCATATCCACTGCACTGAAAGTTACCAGCAGAACTGTAATTGCCAACAAGAAGCAAAGGATTGAATGGGTTCTTACTCAATTTAAACTGTCTGTGAGGAGAGACCAGATTTTTTAATTATTGTAGTCCTTCCACAGGAGGTTCTACTCTGCAATTGGGATTCCTACAGTAGCGATTATATAAATAACAGTGTGGGCAAAGAGCAAGTTTCAAAATACTGATCAAGATTTGAAAATACAGAATCGGAGAGTTACAGTTTAAAGTAGGGCCTTAGATTTGCTGGAGCGCAGTGTAACTCTCAGGAGCTCGTAGTTTAGCCAGATTACTTTGTTGTTATGTCTCCTGCTTTTAAGTATGGACCGCTTCTGTGCTTCAAGAAAAGTGTCCTCTAGCACTTCTGAGCGCCTTTGCCCTCCACGATAGACACCTATGAAATCCCTTCAAGCAGTTGCAAGAACAAGTTGAAACCTGCTTTTCTGAAGTCCAAGGCTTTTATTCTACTATTTTGTTTCCTCATGCCCCTTATGATCTTAAGCTCTGTGCTCTTACAGTCACTGTAGCCAAGGCTGCTGTTGATAGTCACATCTGCAAACCAGTGTTCCTCATTTCTAAGTAGCAGATTCAGAAGAACACCACTCCTGGTCAGAACATCCAGTGATTGAGAACAACAGGGACACAACTGTGTGTATTTTCATAGCACAAACTCTTAAATTGCTTGTGCACCTCTGTGCTGCTTTCCAAGAAATCATTAGAGTAGTTGCATTTCTTGGTGAGAACCTGATTCTGCAGACCTGAGGCAGCTTTGAGTCATCTGAATAAGGCCTCATCCACCTCGTTTTCCTAATTGTGTGGTCTGTAACAGATGCCCATCATTAGGCTGATCTTGATGGTGATTTTGACCCAAGGCATTCAACATACCTGTCGTCCTGTCCATAACTAACTTCTGTGCTTTCAAACAGCTCTTTAAAATAAAATAGCAGCAGCAAAGTGATACCTATGTAGGTAAATATATGCAATGTGGATATGGTTTGGTTTGATTTGGTTTTCTTAAAGTCAAAGTGTCAGTGAGCAAAAAGAAGAGGACATCTAATTTGGCTGCTTCATATCCTGTCAGAAATTATCACATCATCTAAACCAGATCTTATAAAGAGTCTTAATGTTGATACTTATTAGAGAATGGAGATAAAATTCAAGTCCTTTGTTCCTGAGATGGGTGCCTTTTTTTTTTTTTATAAGCACTTTTTTTCTTCTCCCCTGACCCCAATTAATGGGTTGCTGGAAGTAGTGAGATTTGGCAGTGTAATCTTCCACATAGCTACTTGAAGAAGGAAAAATACCTAGGAGTTTCATTGAGTTAGTTCAGGCTTTATAGGGATATAAGAGAAAAGAGAGAGAATGTTCCAGTCTTAGGAGCTGGCATTAGTTCATAGATGAGTGTGAAGTAAAGATTCTTTATCAGGAGTTTTACTTTACATACAGCAACTTTAATGCAAAACATATTCTATTTACATGTCCTGTGTATAATTTTATATGTGACATTATATATGCCTTGGGTAGATCCCACTTGGCCTTTGTTTAAATATGTCAGGTTTCAGACACTAATTTTGCAAAGCCAAAATGAGAGATGTACTCAACTCATTGACACCAGCTTTATTGGGCAAAAATGTTTTATAATTTTATATGCTTCCTATTCTCTAACTTTAGATTCGATACAAGACCAATGAACCCGTATGGGAGGAAAACTTCACTTTTTTTGTGCACAATCCCAAAAGACAAGATCTTGAAGTTGAGGTATGTTGTCTTACTCTTCCTGTTCTAAGACATTTCAGTAGTAACTTTCATACATTACAGGCTGTTACGAAATGAGGCTGAATATACTGTGAACACCATTAAAATTGCTCTTACAGTAGTTTTTAAGACCAGGTTATGAAATGCTTATTTGCATTTACTACTAAAAGGAAAAAAGACTGTAACCAGTCTCTCAGTAGAATAGCATTGTTTATAGTTCTCTTACCATCTTTACTTAAAAATAAAAAAGGGAGAATAAAAAAAAGGAAAAATGTGAATTTTGATAGCTGTTCTGAACCTTAACAGTCTTAACTGCTAGCAGAGATTGCTGTTACACATAGCTGATTTGCTTCCTCTCTTATGCCAAGGAAGCCTTTTCTATATCCAAATAATGTATCCTTTTACAGTGCTGGCATGTCATTTACATAGTTCAAAGAGATGGAAGTGTAAATGAGTACTGTCCTAGTTACTGTTCCTCTAACAGTAGTAAGGAACTCATTTTCACACATACCATTTGGAAACCATGTAGATATTTGATCAAGGGTCAGGTAGATGGAGATGGAGTGGTTCATTTTCTGTTTTGATTTTGCTGTAGAAGATAGGGATGAAGAAACTACGCATTGAGTATATTTGCTATTTCCTTCTTCAAAGTGAAGTAATCTTGTGATCAGGGAAATTTGGTTTTAAACAAACATTTGATGTTGTTGAGATTTATTTTTTTTAATAAAACTTGTTTTCTTCCTCCGAATTCTTACAAAGGAGATGATACAAAATGACTCAGCTTTTGTGTTCCTTCAGGTGAGGGATGAACAGCACCAGTGTTCTTTGGGGAACCTCAAACTGCCTCTAAGCCAGTTGTTGGAGAGTGAAGATTTAACTATGCATCAGCGGTTCCACCTGAGCAACTCCGGTCCAAACAGCACTATAAACATGAAGATTGCACTCAGGGTACTCGAAAACTTTTCTGATTGTAAATATCTGAAAGCATTTTTAAGACTATTGTGACTTCTGATCTTCTAGCTTTATAAAGAAGACAGTACATTTCCTTGAGCGTCACAGTGCCAGGTGTCCTTAGCTGTGGCAGTGCTGCCAAGTACACAAAGGTAGCCCCTAATTTAAGTACATTCTTTATTTTAAAACCAGAAAATTTACTGAACAAAAAGTGATGAGCTACATTAATTAAGACAGAGGTTCCCCGTGGCTTTAAGTTCAGAAATCACATTTGGAATCTGAATTCCTTCAAGTCTCTTCTGACTCAGTAGGCTACAGATCAGTGAAATCACCTTTATCTTGTGGAAATGAAACTGAGGTCATGATTGTTTAAAAATAATAAAGTTTAAAGGGAAAGGAAGTACCTTCATAGTGCTAGAAAAAATCAGACCAAGTTTCAAGCCCATTGTAGTTTTGAATATGAAACTGTAATGCCAGAAAGTTGTTTTGTCTTTTTCCCCAGATAAATGATGTGGCTTAATGAGACAGTGTATCTCTTTGAAAACACTGTCAAACTTCTGTTAACTTCTGTTATTTATTCTTTGCTAAAGCTCTTTCTTGACATTAATAAATGAAAATAATCTATAAAAGAGAAAGTAAGGACAATAAGTGAGAAGAACTTGGGATGAGAGGATTAAATTTCAAAAGATAAGAAGAAAAAAAATTATAGAATAGCTTTCCAGGTGGTTATAGCTGCAAAGTAAATAGCACTTGCACCAGCAGTGTGTACCGTATGGGAAGGGAATGAGGAGAATCACAGAATCTCAGGAGTTGGAAGGTACCTCGAAAGATCATCCAGTCCGTAGAATAATTCTAAATGACTCTAGAATTTAACGTTGTTACTGCAGTTGCCACAAAGAAGACTGAGCTGTGTTTTGCTGTGCAAAAGGCTTCCTACTGTAGAGTGAATAAGTGTGAATATTTTTGATCCTGCATTACTGTCTGAACTTCACTTGTCACCAACCAGTACTCTTGTAGAAACAGATTTGTTCCTGTTTTTTATACTAGAAAATAGTAATACTATATTTTTACTGTATCTAGGTCCTTTCTCTTGAAAAGCAGGCAAGATCTCCAGATCATCAACACTCAGCCCAAGTAAAAAGGCCATCTGTTTGCAAAGATGGAAGAAAATCATCTTTTAAGCCTCAGGTTCCTGTTTCACCACCACCTGATTCAAACAAACCTGTTCCAGCCTCCCCAGTGACTGACAGTGATAAAAAGACTGATACAGCTGAAAAAAGTCAGCCTCCCAATGCCAGCCCTCAGTGGCCAACAGATCTCAGCCGAAGTTCCTCCAGTCTTCAAGCCTCTAACTTCTCTTACTCGCCCAGCCACCTGTCAGTTAAAGAACCCACTCCCAGCATAGCCTCAGACATATCTCTGCCTATTGCCACGCAGGAGCTACGGCAAAGACTACGGCAGCTTGAAAAGTACAGTGTTAATTATTTGTTTTTGCAGTACATCTAAGTTAACTTATAAAAAATGATGTCAGTGCCAAAGAAGGTGTGCTTAGTTTGCATTTCAGTAATGTTTTTTTTCCTCTTGCAGTTTCAGCCTGGTATTTGAAAATCAGTCATTGACAGAATCTGCAATTAGAAGTTACCATGCCATTGTGATGATTTGCACCTTGTATTTGTACCCACACTATGTAGTGCTAAGAAGAGTGGCATAGCAAGAGGGAAGGATATTTTTGACACAACATTAATCACTTTCATGGCTATAGTTGCCTGTTTCACCACTGAATCCTATTAGTATTAATGTTAAGCCGGTTAAGCTGAATATAGCTGGTCTTTTAAAATTACTCAGAGGGATAGTTGACTACAAAGAATGTTAAATGAATAGTCAGTTACTATTCAATTAATGAGGATTTCTGCAGCCATGTTTTCTTAAATTATCTAATTCTTTTTCTAATTCTTTTTCTACTTGCCTTACTGGGCTGCTGTACTTACCAGTAATGATAGCTGAGCAGCCATGCTGTTCTGAATAGGAGAATGGAAACTCTTCATTCCCTATTGATGTTCACTGTGAATCTAAGTAGAAAGATTTAAAATTTTTTTATTTGTAAGGGATTGAACTGATTCAGCTTTTTCTCTATCAGAGTTCATAGAATCATTAGTGATACAGGTTGGAAGAAATCTCTGGAGGTTGGTCAGCCCTTTGCTCAAAGCAAATCCCACTTCAAAGTTGGATCAAGTTTCTTAGGCCTTGTCCAAACAACCCTTGAGTATTTCCAAGGATGGAGATTCTGTCAGTTTTCTCAGCAATTCTGGTGCTTAACCACAATGCTGTGAAAAGTTTTTTTTCTTCTTTCCAATTGGAATTTATCTCGCTGCAACTTGACTGCAGCCTCTTGCTCTCTTACTGTGCACAGCCACGAAGAGGCTAACTCAGTCTTCTCTATAACGTCTGTTTTAAGAAGTGAAAGACTCCAATTGAATCTGCTGTTGGCTTTCTCTTCCATTTGTACAAACCTATTTTCTTCCCCATCTGCTTATGTGCTCCAGTTCCTCATTTATCTTTATGGTCCTCTCCTGTCTTGTCTTCAGTTTGTCAGCCTCTTCTGGCCCAAAATTGGGTTAGACCTTGTTAATTATGGTAAATGTTGAGATACTACTCCTTATTTAATACACAAATTTTACACTTTCTCATTTGATAAAAATGGTAAAACTAAGGCAGCCCTTTATTGCAGGCCCCATGCTTTTAGGTGCTCTGGATTTTGTTTGGGTTTTTAGTTTTTCTTCTTTAGAAAGAACTAAAACTCTGCATTTCAGTTTTTAAAGTGATGAGTGACTTGGGAATTTTAATGGACCATTCCGCCATCACTTTGTAGTAGCTCTTCACAAGAGGAACGCCTCCCCTTGAGGTTAAGATACCCTTCAGGTGGTTGAGAATTGCCAGGCATGCCATATACTGTCCTGTGTGAAACGGAAAATACTCGTAGTCTGTTTATACAAACTAAAACAAGCATTTTATAGAGGTGAGGGAACTATGCAAATATTTGCCTTTCTTCAAAACAGAAATTCTTAATCATGGTGCTTGCTTTTGATTTAAGCATGACCTACGCTTGTAAGTTTAAATTCATTATAATCTTGTTTTCAATGTGGCATGAGCTACAGAAAAATAAAGTGGCTGTGTTTATACTGTGATTTGAACTTCTGAGACACTAAGTCGACTTAAGTATCAGTATTTTAAGCTAAGAATATTTCTACATTAGAGAATTTAGAAAAGAATGAGCTGGCTTTCTAATTGGTTCCTGCCCATAGGTAAGAGTGGCCCATCACTGAGATTTTCATTGCAGTTTGCACCATTATTCTTTGCGATTTCCTAGATACTGCTTTAATGTTTGTTTTAGGGTAAGCAAGTTCTTTACTGATCATGGTTTTCAAAGGACTGAAGAGCAACTGGCCTCTGAACTGACAAGAATACCTAGTTTATTTTGGAGAGCAGAACTGCTGGACAAGGAACTGAAGCACAAGAACCTGACAAAGATGCGCTCATGTGTGTGCTCTCACATAGGTCTAGTGAAAAGTTAAATTGATAATACACGATTTCTGGAAAAACTACTCAGCATATATTTCAGTTAGGTTTCACTTTAAATGTGTTTTAAAAACTAAGCATAGTGTTCTACTTTTTCCTGCAGTGGAACAACTCTGGGGCAGTCTCCATTAGGACAGATCCAGCTAACAATTCGTCATAGTTCACAAAGAAACAAACTGATTGTGGTAGTGCATTCC